AAACACTACTCCTTCATACATGTGGGTTTATTTGACATAGATATTGTCTCACTCCGGCTTTCATTCTCGCTCCTTTTATTATCAGCTGTTATTAGGAATTAATGCCTATTCTTCAGGTGCACTTACTGTCCATCTGGTCAGGCACAGAGACAAAGCACATGCTAAAATAGGCAACCGGAGATCAGGTGATAGTGTGACATTGACTCTCTCCTGCCAACCTAGTCTCTCCAGGCACCAAATCATATTATCATACACATTATTTATTCATGCATAGTCTATTTATGTATTGATTTAGACAAACAAAGTTGTTGCTTTTATGCAGAAAGAAAGACTGCGAAGACAAAATTTTAAATTTAACAAGCTGTTATTGGAGCATGAGTGCATCCCGAGGTTGCATGTTTGTCTCTTGTCAACATTGCAGTAGTGTGCAGGACTCTGTGAGACACTGCAATGGGATACTCTGTTACAAGAGGCGACACTGGTCGCCTGAAATGTAATTGCGATGTGTCGACTTTGTGGTGAATCACCGCCATGCGTTTTACATTGGGTGTGGGAAATGGATGCGACTACTGCATACGCCTCGTGCACTTCTGCTTATATTTTCTTGGCTGAGTGGGCAGCAGATAAGTTATTTTGTCAATAAGGTGGAAACAGATTAGATAGTGGCCTGAATGTTCAGCAACACAGGTGCTGGACTTCGATCTGTCTGTAAGAAACATATCACATTACTGATTTCATTACATTGCTTTAGATAGAGCTCACAGTTGGTTAACACTGTTATAGGTTCATGAGTTCCTCACTGTTAAAACGCAGATATAATTTCTGTTATGCGGTCACATTTCTAAGTTGTTTAGCATTTTAAAAACTCCTGTAATCTAAACCCAGCCGACGTAAGGGAAAATTACTCTTGTCAGTCACGGTCAGTGCAATCACTATAGAGGTAGTTCAGATATTCATTGCTTGAGTTTATGTCACACTAATGAAAACATAAACATTACTGCCTTACACCTCTGTACTGCATCTCTATATGGATATCCGCCTGGCTGTGTATATATTGCATAGCCTGGAACTATAAACACAAAGTCTTGCAGTCGAGTTGTCTGAATTATGGATGGGATATTTACACAGATCGGTCCCCTCGGGCACCATCTTTTATTTTTGCTGTGGAGAAGCAGAACAGAGCCAAAAAGGAGAGAAGAACAGGAGAGAATGATTAGAAAATAAAGAGGAACAGGAGTAGAGAGGTGCTGACACATATTGAGCCAAAGAGATAGTGAATAAACTGTCAGACTGACAGCAGGGAGCACACACAGGCCTGAGGATGGAGGAAATAAGTCTAGTGATCCCTGTCTGTGTTCTTATGCTCCCTGCAGCTTTACAGAGATGAACTCATTAAAGCAGGAAGGGGGGTGTTGTGGGAGCTGCATTATTATATGGATGTATTGTGCTTCAAGTATAAAAAATGTATAATATGGTTAATATATGATTTCCTTCCACTGTAAGTAACCTGACATGACCTCAGCTAAAGGTTTAGAGGAGCTTCAAAACACATCTAGGCTTAGAAAATTAATTGCACCGAAAATATCATTAAATAGAATATTTACTGGTCCCGTACATGCTAATCCTGTATGTTAAGATCTTTTTACTCAGTCAGCAGCAGCTGAGCATGTTAAATATCCTTGATTTATATGGATAATAGTTCATTCTGCTGTGATATTATTTTCACACACAGTGTCTGAAAATGTAGTCTACTACATCCAAACATTACTATGCACGTGCACGTATCCAGGGCAGCGCCCCCCTACTTAATATATGCTACTATATGTGCATGGATGAACTGATATGATTTGATCATCCTCTGGGATGTCAGTCCAAGCCCATGTGTTACTGATGTGTTGTTCTGTCAAGCATGTCTCCAGTGACTTGTGAAACCAATATCTCAGTCTTTGTATCAGCCACCTACAGTGTAGTGTTGGGATATGCATCAGAAGAATTAGACTCGCAGGAAATGATACTGCAGATAACTGACTCTGTCAAAGCCTCGTTAGGTCTTACCTTAATGTTTGTACCTTTCAGAGCACTTGTCATTCTCAGAAAATCACCCACAGCAGACATACTCCAGCATCTCAAATGAACATCAATAAACCTTTGAAACACTGCCTTTTACTGCATGCTGTATTATAGATGTCATTAATATAATATAATCATGGGGGGGGGGAATAAACAACCAGAGTTCCTGACTGAACAATCTGTGCTGCAATCCACGGTGATTTGCAAACTCTATTTAACATGAAGTTAACTGTTCAAGAATCTGGAATTCATGAAAACCCATGAAAATCATTAATAAGTGCAACACAAAGCAGTTGGAAGGTTGTTGCCATGGTAACAATGTGTCGAGGCTGACTTTCCAGCTCAGATCTCACAAATACATACAACCTTCTTGTTTTTCTTTTCAAATCAAATTCCATTTGTTCCAACAAAGGTAAAGTAAATATATCAAAATCTACTCTTTGTCAACTGAGCAGCAGTTGTGTGTTTTTTGTGTGTCTGTATAGCCTGCTCCACACATGGTTTAACACAGTTCCCATCTGCATCATGCATCAACATTAATGACGTCCTTGTGAACAGCTTACGTAACAGCTGTAGTCTCCCCTCCTTCCTTTGTAAATTCAGTCACGTCCAACTGGAGCTGCAACCAAACTGAATAATACATCTGTACTTTTATAGCCAGACCTCGGCTAGTATTCTACCTCTTTATCTCTCTCCCTCGCTCTCTTTCTATCAAGGATAAGTACATGTGTTTGAGTCCTTCAGTGATTACACAGCCAGAACTCCCTAAAAACTTGGTCTTTCGCCCAGGGGGCAGTGCCTTATCATGTCATGAAGAGTGTTGTGTGTCTGATGCACATTCTCACTGGCTTACATTGGGTCCCCTCCTCATTGTACGAGTACCTAACTGTTGATAAATTCAAGTTGACCTTTCCACTGAAAAATATGTACAAATATTGCTAAAATATATTAACTTAAATGGACTAAATTATTTCCAAAAACAAAAATCTGCCCAAATATATTACATATTAGAGGTAATCATGTTTAGTATTAGATAGTATAGAAATAATATTTTGTGTGCCGTCATACTTGACATGCATCAAATAAACTGATCTCATACTGTATGTACATATTATTCAGTCTAGTTTGCCTAATTTTCCAATCTTTAGAAATAAAACTGGGCCATACTTTGCTACTCAGTCCAACTTCTCATTTTTATCAAACCAAAATAATTCAGAATTTTATTCTGCATTCTTACTAAGGTGCACAAAGGTTATCATATATCACTAGTGCAATTTATTTTCATTGTCTCCCAGGTCACTGACCAAATACACTCCACCTTTTACCTACTTACTTATTTTGCCACGGGTAAAATACCTCTAGTAAATTTCATCCAATATTTTTATGGCACATGATATGGTGGCATTGAATAGTGATAGTTTGTACTGTATTGTCCTGTATCCTGAATGTGTTGCTTTTGGCCTGTGAAACAATTGCCCTCTTGGATCATAATAAAGTTTGTAAAAAATTTTGAACTTGAACTTTAAACTGGTGCCAATTAATAGTAGTAACCTACAGCACTGACATAACTCAACCTCCATTGTGGAAAACTCATGTGTGCATGGGCCAAAATATGGTATGTTCTACAAAAATACGCCATCCCTGGTGAAATACCAAGTTTTTAGGGAGCCCCTTAAACACCTGTCAACAGATTAACTGATATCTAAGTGTAGAAACACTATATACCAAACATGACCCTATTTTAGATACAACAGAAGACAGAGCAAGACATTGCAGAAAATATTAGTGAGGTTATTTATATCTTACCTATCAGGAGGTCTGCAAAGGAAAGCAATTTCTACAACTGTAGCACTCTATTGAGGGATAGATGATAAATGAGGCAGTCAAAGAGCCTAAGTGCCAGACAGTGCAGGGTATGGTAGCATGCTTGGAGCACAAAGGGATTTTTTAAATTTTTTACTTTACTCAATTATCTAACTGTACAAAGGCTGATAACATAAACGGTACGCAGGCATGCTGCTGCAAGCACTAAAGAAGGAAATGGAAAATGGAAAGAGGTAGAGGAAAAGGTGAACAAGGTTGCAGAAGGGGAGGGAGTAAGGTCAGGGAGGGAGGGAAGCAGGGTAGGCTGCAACCACCAAGACCATAGAGCCACAGGCAGAAGCTGGGAACAGGGAACAGGAGGGGGGGGGTACTTGCTGACTTGCAGTCTGTAGCTGAGTAGATCACTATTTAGTCATGAATATGAAACATTTCAATCTCACATAGTCTTCAGGACAGGAAGATATAAGACTTTCACCTTTTTTGTCCTATGATGCCAGTCGAAGTAGAAGCGTATACTGAAATTGCCAAGTCATTGAACTCATTAGGGCAGCAGCTGCCTCCATCTATAACCCCGTTTTCTTTTTGCACTTTGTTTTGGTCCGTGCATGAGCCTCAGGGTGGCAATGACCGAGTTAATGGTTTGGGGAAGGGAGGGGTGGGCAGGAGCTACGGATGCTATGCTCCTCAGTTCAACAGAAGGGGTGTGCAGGCAGACACATACGCATACACACTCTCATACAAACACACTGGACGGGAGCAGAGAGACCCAGGGAAAGATGCCCTCCTACAGGTTCTCTGCAAGCAAACATGCCCTAAGCATTCAGTCTTATACTATGCCCAAACGCACACACAAGCACTCACACTCGCACTCACACTTGCGCGCACACTCACACACGTTTGTGCACAAACACGCACATGCTAGAAAGGGGCAGAAACACACCAGATGCGCTCTAAAAATGGGACAGGAATGAAAGAGAACTTAGTTTGGAGAGGCGGAGAACTATCAGTTCACACAGAATATGAGAGAGAGGGGAAAACAAGACGGGAGTGGGCAGGGGACACGAGGAGCATCAGCAAATCAAAACAAGGAGGGGGTGCGAACAAACCTTCGGGCTCTGTGCTCTCTTTGTGGACGACTTGCTTCAGGGGGCAGCAGAAGATTTCGTGACACTTAGCACGAAAGGGGGACCCTTTACTCCTTATATCCGCAGAGTGGATGGAGTCCTGCCGTAACATAATGTACTCCTGGGTACCTGGGGCAGCGTCATCCTGGACTGCGGTGGTGCCATAACAGAATGAACTGGGGTTAGAAAGCTCACCACACACATAAAACAAAAGAAAAAACAATAACAACAGCAAAAATCACTAGGCAGAAACACAGGCAAATAAAAAAACATCACAACATTAGCAACAGCAATAGCTTTAAATAACAGTAATGTAGCACATAGTGACAGAAAGAGAGGAGAGAGGGAGGAGAGAGGGACAGAAGAGAATAAGAAAGAAATAGACAGGTTTAGATCAAGAACATCAAGCTCACAAAAACTAAAAATAAAGACAACCAACAACAGTGGGGGCTCTGTTATATATATCCTTGGTTGCTGAAAAGGAAAAGTGATAAAATAACACGAAGAAAGGGTAAAAGAAAACAAGAACAGGTCAGTGTTCAAAATCATTGTTATGGCAGGCTGTTAGCAGGCACAGAACCATGAGCTGCTGCATTTGAATGATGTGATTGTAGGCCCGGTAGAGGAGTAAGAGGTTGTAGGATCGCAAGCCAAGCGTGCAGTCTGCTACCGTATATAACAAGTGAGCGCCACTGAAACTGACGTCAGGGGGTGGTGGGTGATTATGCCCCCTCCCTCCCCGTGCACCGCATATCCACCCCATTTACTGTATGAGTAGGCAAGCAGATGCAAAGGCATGCAGAGGCTCCCACGTCACACTGGAGTGATTTGATTTTCTTTCATGAAGTCATGCTTTCTGTAAGTGATGTTAAGGAGAGCTTCTTTAACATCACTCTGCATGTGTGTCTATAGCAATTCTGTACTGGGTTCCTGTGAAAAGCCCTGTGTTTCTGTATGTATTGGATCTATTGCATCTGTCCTTTTCTGGGCACAGTCCCTGCTTGGCTTCGATCATTGACCTATTTTCTCTGTGTTGATGGATTAGCTACAAGCGAATCAGCCCAAATAAATTGTATCTTCTTTTCCTAATGGATTTGAGTGCCATGTCTCTCTCTGACACATTTACTACTTATTGAAAATGACTACAGAGAAGGATATTAATCAGTTGCCATTATAGAGTCTCCATAATGCTTAATCTCCCCTCCCCCCTTTCCCTTATGACATGTGTGACCAACATAATTATTTCCACTTTAACCAAACTCACCAGAAAAAGGCATCATAATTAGCGTTAAAAATGTACACATGTAACTCATGACCCATTTTCACACAAAGAGTTGTTCTTGATATTCATAAACCCGACACTCTCACCCTTATTGGAGCCAACTAGGGATAAAGAGCCAAAACCATTTACTGCTGACAATTGGCCGTAGGTTTACTTTCATTCATAAAACCATTTTACACACATAAACATTAAATGTATTTAATTTCAGTGAACTGTTCTCCATTTGAGTGCACTATGCCAAATTGATCTTAATGGGAGTATAGCGACGCAATCTATAGGCGAGTGCAGCATGCCAAAAGATTATATCAGAAATAAATTGCCCCCCCCCCAATTGCACAACTTAAAGGAACAGAACATTAGAATTTTAAGCATTTAATTGTAAGCATATAGTATCCATACCCAGCGTTACGCATTATAACAAAACAGGGGAGCGACTTGACTTGACCTACAAATAAAAAATTGGAGACTTGAACTTCCTCTCAAAGCTGCCCATAAGTAACTTTATTCTGGTTTGGCAGAGCTGTGGATAAATCAAATGCTGGTCATTGATAAAGATGTCAACTAGGCTAGACAAAAGATGATTGACAGTTATTTCTTACACAGACACAAAAAAAACTCCCTATACCAGACTGAACAAATAGGACTCCCTGAACTGTTATTGATCATTGCATGCTTACTGATTTTCAAACCAAAACTGACTGAAACTTGGCAGCTGTTCAGATGCATTGTCAAATTCCTCAAAGACTTTCCACCCATGTCTACAATGTCTTAATATGTTGTATATATTTTATAGTTATTAACATAGCTCAGGGATTTGAAGAGGCAGCAGGTGACCGTATCAATTAAATGCTCACCAACTGGTCAGTACATATGTGACAATTCTGGAGTAGTTGTATCCACAGTTTACTAAAAACTGAACTCACTGTATAGAACTGTAGATGTAGATCAGGATGAATCCCTGTTTAGCTGATAACACTGATTTGTCCTTGAAAGGGAGACCTAACTTTCTGAGCTGCAAATGTCTTTCAAAACACCCCATAAACTGGGCCACAGATCCAACGAGATGCAAACAAGAGCAAGTCCACTATCTAGTAGGCCAGCCATTGCCTGACATAAGCCTCCCTATCTCTCTCTCTCTCTCACACACACACACACACACTAACAGGCAGCAGATAATCAGGGTTCCAGACCCAGTGCAATTAATCACCACATGCCTTTTCTCCTATGGGACTTATCAGTATTTCAGTGCCTCCTTTCAGGCTCCTGGATAACCTGCTACACTAACACCTCTGTGCCAGCAAAATGTCCTGAAAACCCCACAGATACTCCACTATTGTTGCCAAGAAAACCACAGCACTACTGAAACTTTAATGGTCCTTTGGAATGACACAGGTCTAAGTTTCCATCCAGGAATATGACCCCATGTTCTCTGCTTCTGAGGCGCAGAGATGCAGCTACTGTACTTGATCCAGTAGAAACTGAGCTAAACTAAGATAATCTGCCCATTTATAAGACATTTAAACTGCACACACACAGAAAATAGCACTGAGTAGAAAAAAGTTAAATATACAAACTGATCGTTTAAACCAATGATATCCTGACAATTTCCCCATTGCCCAATCAGTTTATTTTCTCCTCTGAACAAACTAAACAAAGAACGATGGTTTTGTTTCATCTGCACCAGACAGGCGTTAAGGTGCACTGAAACACATCCACAGTTAGTTAGCAAAGGGTCAAACTTCAAACTGCTTACTGGTACAAACATTAATGCACTCTGCGGTTGTTTTCTCTCCATTGTCCTTGCCATCCTGTCTCCTCATGTTTAAGTATTCTTCACTGAGCACACAGTGGAGGTAGAAAATGTGTGTGTGAAAAGATGGGGAATAGACTCTCGAGAATTTCGACAAATGTCTAATTCCAGCCGACGTTTATTAATGAGCCAGCTAACTGCCAGCACATCCAAAGTAATAAAACTGAGTGATGGTGGGGCTAAGAGGACGAACGGAGGAGGGACTGGGCACCATCTTTTACAGCCTGTCTCCTTCATCCTTGCCCCAGCCTTGATGAAGAGCGCATATTGGGATTGAAGGATGCGTGATGAATGATGCAGCACGGCCTGGGACCTCGCTCTTTATCAGACCATCCACACAGAGTGAGCTGTCACCCAGGTTCATGATAGTCAGTGATCTACAGGCACCAGTGTTGCCACATCGGACCTTCAGCAGGCTGCAATAGATGTCCTTGCCCCTTTGACAGGAATAAATCTCATAGTAAGGAGGAATGGATACAAATAGAAGGAGGGGGGTGAGATGTGTCTCGCTTCGGTTAGTTGCTCATCTATTTAAGGCCCCTTATGAATGACAGGGCACATTCAGGTTTTATGGCAACAGTATGTTAGATGTGTGGGCAGTATTTACGGTATGGAGTATAAAGCAAGTGTTATGCAATGACCGAGCTGTGCTTATGTTCAAGTGTGGCTGTATCTATAGGACAGAAGGGCAGGCTTAATGTGACAAAGCATCATCAGCAACACCCAGGCTCGCAAATGACACCTTCCTCATGTTCAAATGAGGTTCAAGGACGTGTGTAATCAACTGAAGCACTGTCAGGTCCAGAGAAATGGAACTATACCTCCATATATGAGGCGCAATCTCTACAGTTTACTCTAGTCATGGCTACATACATCAAGGTGGATACACATTCATCATGACTTGACAAATAGCATACTCACCAAATTAGAATCAGAATTAAGCACAGAAACAGGTCTGTAGCATGAGGTTTGTGTTTCGAAAATAGCCTGGCCTCAATGTGGTTTCACAAGGAGCAGAATCTAGCACATTGTCTTCTGGGATGCCTTTGGTTCAGTGTGGCTCCATCTCAAGAAAGAAATAGTTTTATTTTGGTTGTAAGTCACCTTGCAGGCAGCGGAGAAAGTGAGTTGAGTTGAACTTGAGGTTTTCTTTGAAACGCAGAATGAGCTCGCGTTTTTATTCATGCTCTTTCATCCCTCTGAGCTCATTGTTTGTCATTCTCTCTTTCTCTTGCTCTTGTCTTTCTCCCCTCTTGTTCTTTGTTCCTTTGCCTTTTTGTTATAAACAGAGGCTCTATAGTGTGACATGATAGCTTGGCACAAATATTGTAGGCTTTTGTAATCACCACATTAATCACTAGATAACTAGAATTCATTTCAATTTTATTTGTATAAGAAAAGTTATATCTGGACACTTTTCAAATAGAGTAGGTCTAGATTGTACTCCTTATAAAATTATTGTTTGATGAGAATGCAATGAAGCTGAAAAGAAGAAATCAGCAGCTTCAATTTTGGTCTCACTGTATGACCACATCTTAGTCAAGGCTTTAGTATACCTATATTGTTATCTTTCATAATGACCTTTTAGCTGTATGACACTATATACCACAGTGCCATTAAACTATAAAAACATTTAAAATAACATTTATGTTTTCAAATAAATGTGTGCATGTTCCACTAGTAATATATCAAAACGTGGGTCTAATACCATTAGTATAAAGAAGGCATAATGCATAAAAGAGCACGGGAAAACAATTTCCACTAATGCTGGTAATTACTCATGCAGTCCAATATGGTCATGACTCTAGCCATGCTCTCTGTAAAAGCAATTATTTTACTCCAATACGCAATGAGCTATGAATTTCCTTCAGAGGGCATCTTATTCTATTTATTCATCTAGAAAAAAAAAAGTGTGGACAGGGGTGGATTACTCCGAGCATGATTTGTGACATCACAAATAGTAACAGTTTGCAACTTATACAAGTAGTATGTAGAAACTTGAAGCCCTCAGTGCACATACACTAAATGGACTTTACAGTGAAGTAGGGGACATGGATA